GAGCATAGAAGCTGTTCTCATAAGCCTATTTCTGTCTTTTAAAACTAAGAAAAGTAGTCTAAAAATGAAGCACAAATTTTATGTCAAACACTTTTTTTCGGTAAGTCGTATGGTTTTGGAGACATGCAAATCAAAGGGATGGAGCGCGACAGAATTTTTGCGCCGTGCATCCATTTCATGACTGTCCCAGGCTTCTGACTCCGATCTGTAGTTTTGTAAATAAGTTCTGAGCCCAAAATCTTCCCACTTCTATATAATTATAGGAAATAATGACACGGATGAGGGCCAACAAACTATGAAATCAGTAGCGACGATTTAACAGAGGCGAAAGTTCACATGACGTCATGAACAGTCCCTTCTTGACTTCTTCCAATATTTTATATGACAACAAAGTCTATTGTGTGGAGCAAGGATAGCCCAGTCCTTATACGAAACGTCCGAGGTGTCGGATTTAGAGTCCTGGTAGGAGAAAGGGTTTTCTCTTCTCCACGCCGTCCACAGGACCGGCTTTGGGGCCCACCCAACCTCCTATCCAATGGGTACCAGGGGCCTTTCTATGAGAGTAAAGTGGCCGGGGCGTGAAGCTGACCACTAATCTCCAACTAATGCCGAGGTCTATACATCCACTCTCCCATATTTACGTGATACGCTGTAGACAAGGCACTAAGCTACAAGCCTGAAGGTCGTAGATTCGACTTCCGATGAGGTCATTTCATTTTTTCTTTCAATTGACCTAATCCTTCCAGCAGCACTATGGCTCTGGGATCGACTCAGCCTCTAACAGAAATGAGTACCATGAATCTCCCTGGGGGTATAGGGCGGGCGGCCGGCACGTAAGGCTGACCTCACCGCAATCGGTGAGCCGATTGTCTAGAAAACCTCGACTTCTCACAACCCCATGGATAGCCTTACGTCCTTCTTTATGTAGTTCAGAGACAGTCCCATATTTCGCTTATGTATTTGTCCAAATAAATCGTGCTTTCTCCAAACTACTCGATATTACAAGAGAGAAGACCGCACTCTTCAATGACTATAGATGAACGTGAGATCTGCCGTTCTCACAGTAACTCCTGATATATGACGCCTTGCAGTTATATACAATTTTACCGACGTTTGAGAAGAAAGCATTGCCTTTTCCAGGATAATAGAGTATGTGGAGGAGGCAAGCATCTGCTCGCTGACACAGCATACTGTAATGTGTCCCGCCGAAACGTCGGGAAACTTCCTCCAGACAACACGGCCTCGGGCCCCAGGAGACAGCTCTCTGTATTTCACGACTGTATACAATGGATCATGTAGAGGTCACAAAACTTTGGGAGACTGGAAGATATCCATCTGGGTCCACACTTCACAAGGAATACGTCCCATTGAGACATGCAAAACAGCTGAAGGCTGAATCATTTGTCCGCTTGACACAGAGTTTCCATTACAGTTCACCTTTTGAGAGGACAATAGAGGACATCAGCGACTGTCTGCGAAATTTGACACTTTGTCATTGCGGAATTTCTACGTCATTTTTCGAACCGATACCTAAAATTGTTCCCTATTCAATGCATTTTTAATCCAATGCAGAGAATCCTTCACGAAGGGCGCCCTATGAACTATATTCAATTCGTAACGGAAGCGGGAAAACAAAGGAATACTTCCAGGTTATTAGGCGTTCTTTATATTGAAAGCAGAGGTCAAATGGATAGGCCTCCGTGCCTTGCATTCGGGAAGTTCCCGTTTCTATAATCCAGGTTTGCGGGCCGGTTAAACGGACAGAGATTTTCCGTGAGTTTACCTATTTCCTCTCACCACAATTAGGTTAGGATCATTACCTTCCAAATCCATTCCAATTCATTATTCAGGAACAATTCTGTAACTTGTTGGTGCGTACAATAAGGTGAGTAGAGAACTCAGGAAGTCTGCTGTTCTACTTCATATTGTAGCGTGTAGAGCCGTTACTAAGCAACGGCTCGTTAAACACGATCCCCCAGCAATGGATACGCATGCAACAAATAAGGTACTGTTGGAAACGGTGTTCTCTACTCGGTCCGTGCAAATGGGTTATGAGGAGGACAGCTGAAGCAATAATATTTCAGTTGTAAGGGAACCGTTGTTCAGATAGGACTTAAGCCAGGAAGCAGAGGAATGCCCAATGTTAGAAGCCGTTACCAGGAAAATGTGTAGCAACAGAATAAGAACACTAGACTGTGTGCTCTAGTGAACTATAAATTGTGGAAATCAGGTTAATATTATAGTCATTTGTAGTTACGACCTGTGAGTGGTCAATAAATCAAATTATCCAAAACACAGTCTACAGTCATACACACACTATGTGAACTGAGTAAAACCGAAAAGCTGCATTTTGGATACTTGGTGTTCGACTGAGATTCGACCCTTCACCTCCCGAATAAGTCAGAAGGTGTAAGATTTGTGGTTTTCACGGCGGTGTCTATGAAGTAAATAGTCTTCTGGGATGTGCCGTCGTGTAGATAGTGTTAACAGACGTTTCGGAGGAATGTATAACATCCATATTCAGGGTAGAAGAAAATATAAATCAGCGAGCGAGCCAGTATGAGCAGTGCTAACAGAGCTCACGCTGATTCGCTCGCGGATTTCTTCTTTTTTCCTTCTATCCTGAAGATGGAGGCGATACGTTCCTCCGAAACGTCGGTTAACACAATATCTACACGGCGCCACATCCCAGAACACTGTTTACTTCAACGGTCAGAAGCCTTACCGACTGAGTCAATTTATTCGGTGTTGCGTAAAGCTTTGGTGATATGCCTTGCCAGCTCCTTGTTAAGTGAGAGTGTGGGCAGCGTGTCGGGCAATTAATGCACGTTAATGAGACCCGCCTTCTGACCATGTTCTGACAATGAACTAAACGCATCATCGTTCATATTAATGTGGCAGAGTGTTTCAGCTTTTTTACATGAGAGCGTGGAGAAGAGATGACAAGATTGATACGTGAAGCGCAGTGTAAAGCTAGGTGTTGCACGAATACGTGCGCGAGACTTGCCAGACTAATTTGCAACGCCTGTATTCCGAGAGCAACAAGGATCTAACACGCTATTGACAATAATCATGATCTTAATAAATCCAATCATTTCTGCGCAGCCTTCATTAAAACTGCAATAGCGAAACGAGAAAAAAGACGCAAGCATTTGTTTTTGTTGTTACGTAGTGTTTGCCCCTTGTCGGCGCGTTGGTATAGCAATCCTTCATGAACATAAAGCTGACAAACTGACGGGCAGCACTGATCTAATACCATGGCCGCAAA